ATATTCCAAATGGTAATTTATCTGAATATATCTAGTGAGTTCCATATTAGGTTCACCCAATAGATCTATAGATGGGAAGATTTAACTAAACTACATGAATAGGCAAATTTTTGGGCTGGAGAGCTCGCAAGATTGATTTTTTTTCTAGAGCAAATGCCAGTAACAACCTCCCGTGCTTGATGACTCGTGAATGTAAAGTGTTACGTAAAGTGGGCCCTCATGTTCAGCTTTCACTGGGTGTGATTTAATTCTTCAACAGTCCAATTTTGGTTTGTTGACCTTTTTTATTGGGAATTAATTTGTTTCAAGGGAATTTGATGAAAGATAGATTTATACCACATATATGTTTGGGATGATTTTTTTAAAAGATAAAGCTTGTTTATGAATTAGCCCCGAAAATAAATGAAAGGGTATATGCTTTTAACAGATGAAAATGCAGACTAAATATGGAGAAACAATAGTTTTGTATGTCCAAAGACTTGTTGCATTTTTATCTTGCGAGTGATTGTGTCTACTAATAATATTTAATTATCATAAATTTGTCAGGCATTTGAGCAACTATTTCCACAATAGGAAAATATAATTATAAATACATTCATTAGTACACAGTTCTCACACGTTAAAAGTTTTGTGCGGTTTTATAAATTTGTACCATCGACTCAAACATGACGGTTTTTCTCATTCTCAAGAACAAATTGAGTCAGCACGGTCATTTCTTATCGAGATCACACCACTTGGCAGTTTTCACACATAAACAAAATTTCAACGAGTTTTTAGTTAAATTTGACTATCGGCTAAAACTTGAGGCGACTTTGTTGGTAATTTCTTAAGAACCATTAAAGCTACAGTGCTCGTGTGACTACCAGTGAGTAGAGAATGAAAATCCCAATTTGGAACACAAGTTAGGAATTTTTTTAAACACAGTTTTCATACACTAACCGAAATCGGAATTTCACGCAAGAGATGCAAGGGAGGACCTTTTTTTTTCAGACGTGACGCCACCGTTTTGTTTATAATTCAGTAACAAATTTAGCCGTTGTACAGCACTGGTTAAAAATATTCGCAGTTTTCACTCAGAAAGCGAAATTTCCTTGACGCAGTTTAGGAAAAATTGGGTCATTGGTATAAACGTGACAATGCCTTTTTGGTCATATCTCAGGAACCATTACCGCTACAGCGCTAATTGTCGTACCCTCTCACTCCGAAGATGCACCAGGTTCCAATTATATTTAAATAATGAGCTAATACCGCATAAAGACGAAATCTAATATCTGGGAATTCACTTGGACAGTCGGTTAACATGGAGATCACATATATGGGCAAAACGGAAACAGTTAGGCTTAAAAATCATTCAAATGTACTGGCTAATCAACAAGAACTCAGCACTGTCTCTTGAGAGCAAGCTCTACAAATGCATACTGAAACCGATCTGGACGTATGGAATCCAATTATGGAGCTCTGCAGCAGACTCAAACACTGAAATAATGGAACGTTTTCAATCCAAAACACTAAGAAACATAGTTCGTACCCAATGAAATTATCAGAAAAGACCTTCAAATTACCACAGTGAAAGAAGAAATAATAAACTACTTTAGAAAATACAAAAACAGATTATCGAAACATCCAAATGAATTAGCAAAAGAGTTACTTATATATAATACTAATGTGGTGTCTCGTTTTGGGAAACGCAGGAACTGGTTCAACTTGTAAATTTTTAGAATTACTTAACTAGTCTATTGTTCACTCAATTTAAATGTTTTGTAAATAAGTGATCATGCTTGTAAGAGTGCTTTACTAATGAGTGAACACTCACATGTTATATCTTATGTTAACATTTTTATTTGTTGTCTCAGGACAGATTGTAAACAAATAAAAAGAGTTAAAAAAAAGTTGTCGTACCCTTGAACAGAGCATTAGACACTCCATTCAGTAGCTGGAATTTGACTTAAGTGAAATTTTACATAAAAAGGAACAAGAAACACGATTTAGTCATTTTTCAAACATGACGCCACTTTTTTCGTCATTTTGCAAGAAAAAATTGTCAGCGAGCTTATTTCTACCCCACTGGATAGAGCATTAAATAATGCATTTCTCGAGTGAATCACGAAGGAAAATGGGTAGTTTTCACACATAAATTGAAATTACGAAGTGTTGTGTGGTTTTATAAAATTGTACGATCGGCTGAAACAGGAGGCCACTTTTTTGCTTATTTCTTTAGGACTGATGTTTTTCTACCCTGGGATAGAGAATCGGAGAGTCGATTCAGTAGCTCGAACTTCAGTGATAAAATAGTAGCAGATTTCCCTTGGAAAAGTGAAATTTTACATAAAAAGGAACACGATTTAGCCAATTTTCAAACATAATGACCCCCCTTTGTTTATATCTCGGGAATACATATTTCTACCTGTCTTATTTTCACACCGCTGGGTAGTTAATTAAATCACACACTTATCAGAAGAAAAATAAAATTGTACGTTTTAGTTTTCCGTTTTTCCGTTCCATTTTTTTTAGTTTTCCGCTGTTTTGGTAAAACTGGCCCAATGGTTCAAACGCTTTTTTGGTCCACAAACACCAATATATATTTTTGTTTAAATTTTACCACTGAAATTGGCTCTAGCGCTAACTTCAGTTTTCTATTGACCATTTCGGAAATGGAAAAATGACTGCAAAATTTTAATACATTAAGGAATGAAGACACTTTAGGGAGCCAATAAGATGTAATAAGTGCCGTCCTTATTACATCCCACTTTTGGTAAACTTGTGATTTTAAAGCTTGCACTCGCATTTTTGACTGGCCATCCAGGGAGACTGAAGGAATTAAGATTAAGAAAAGTGAGCATATAGAAGAAAGAGTAACCTGGCGAAAACTGAAAAATTCTGGAAAATTTAAAACTATTATGAAGCTAATAATTGGTCTACGTTTCTTCTTAATGAATTTTCTCTTCAAGTAGTCGATCGCCATAGTTAGTACATCTTATGTGATCGCGAAATCATTCTTTCATACATTACTTTTTTCCTAAAGCAAAAAATGTTTTAATACATTAAGGAATGAAGACACTTTAGGGAGCCAATAAGATGTAATAAGTGCCGTCCTTATTACATCCCACTTTTGGTAAACTTGTGATTTTAAAGCTTGCACTCGCATTTTTGACTGGCCATCCAGGGAGACTGATAAAATAAACTTCGCTGAAAATTCAGGGGCTGCAGAAGCCAAAAAATCGACTTATTTTACATATTGAAATCTGGTTTTCCCAAATTCACAGGTTTCAATGAAAATACTCTTTTTCATATCATAGTGCCGTAATTTCCTGTGATAAATATGCACAACTCTTCCATGTTTAGTTCCACTTGATTTTACTGTAATACGACTGACTTTAATAAATCATTTTTAATCAACGATATTGTGCAATGATTTGGCAATTACTCGCAACTTTTGTTCAATAAAACAAATCAATGTTCGACATTATTGGCGCGTGCACTTGTTCACTAGGCCCGAGTGAAGCAATCGTTGCTTTGAACTTACGCATATCTTTAATTATTAAAAAAAAAATTGGCTATCGATTTCTTAATCTTCTTACTGAATTTAGAATAAGGAATTCCAAATGCGTCCCGCAGAATCTAAAATGAATTTTTAATGAGGGTCAATTTTGACTGAAGCACACAAAGGATGTTTCAGGTTTGAGAATGTCTTAAAAATACGAAGGTTTCCAAATACGCACGATCGGTTCTTCGCTTTGCCGTGACTCACATCTTCTAGCTCTTCGTCAAGTAATTTTCTCGACCTTTTCAGTCAACAGGATGAAGGAAAAAAGTCGTTATTGTAACCATCTACGTTATGTGATTTCTGTGTTGTTAAATGCCCGCGGAAAAAATTCTTGTTCCCATCGGTCAAGGTTAGAGAAGATCCATTTAAATGTTGTTGGTAAAACCTTAACTGGTTTTCATTATATAATAACGGACTAATAGTTGTTTATTGCAAAACAAGTTGTTGTATTTAGTCCTGTTTAAGTGACATTGGACAGTTTGATGTTGAGGATTTGAAGAAATAACTGATGTTTTGAGAATATTTTAGTATTTCTTTTGGACCAACGCTTGGTACTAAAGTTTGAAATTTTGTCATAGGAATGATATTTACATTTTTAATTTTCAGATATGTTGAATGGCCAGTAACTGTAAAGCGTGGACAGTAGATTATGCTAATTATAATACGAGCTGTTTTTAAAAACTCAACGTGACTACTGTTAAATTGGCGCTGTTGTTTAACTCTTGAATAATTGCTCCGAATAGCCAACTGCATAGCCATTAAGTACTGCCTTGTTTAAACATTTGCAATGCAACTTGGTTATTTGCCTGTGATAAGGCGAGCATTGTTTAATTTTTTAATCAATGTATCAAAATGATAAAATGCGAGAGTAAATGGAACTCTTAATAACGTTTAAGTTTGCACATCAGCAAGGAAAAGATAATATTTATACAAACTATTTATTTATCATACCAGTACCCTATCTATTTAAAACTTCGTTTGCATGCAACAAATAGTACAAAAACGTAAGGCTTTTATGTATAAGATGAAATCAAACCTGAAAAACCGGCCTAGAATGGTATTTCGTTTTAATATCCGCAGAAAAAGGTCTACTCATATTTTGGAATTCCACGGTCATTTACATATATGTACTGGTGAAACAATGTTAAGTACTATTTGAAGTCCATGTTAAGTTTTCTGATAAGGAATCAAAATTTTGGAGTAACAGAGCTTTAGATGACTTTAGATGATTTGATGTTATTTCTAATATACGAATTTTTTTGCTCAATTATTCTCGATCTACATAACGAAATAATTTTAATAGATATAATCAGTTTGAATATAAACGATGTTATTATACTAATCACTCATATGCAATAATAATTAGTCCTCAACATTGAAATAAAAATATTTATTTAAACCACAGAGCTAAAAACCACAAAACTATGTAAAAGTACAATTTTCAACCTATTTTTAGAACGAATGTCCCGAGGACGGTGCAGGTTTCTTGTCCCGAATGCTATTTTCATGGTTTGATACGTTAACTTGGAAAGGATTTAAGAATCCGCTGGAAATGAAAGATCTTTGGGATTTGAATCCGGCAGATTCGGCGGCCGAAATTGTGCCAATTTTCGAAAAGCATTGGCAAAACACGCTTTCAAAGTCCAAAGGGTACGACACCCATATGTTTAGAGTATTGAGTTGGATTCATACGTTTTTTTATTAAGGGTGCCAACACAAGTCCGAGCCCAACTTAAAGGCTCCGGCGAAGTGGACTTTCTCCCAGCATCCAAAAAGGAAGCTTCAGTACTGCCAGCATTATTAAAGTCCTTCGGGCCCATGTTTCTCTTTGGGGCTATGTTGAAGTTAATGCAAGACATCCTCATGTTCGTCAGTCCGCAGCTTTTAGGGCAAGTTATCTCGCCTGTATGCTAATGTGATATTAAATAAACAGTTTTTTAGGTTTATCATCAATTTCGTAAAGAATGGCGGATATGCTTGGCATGGCCCATTTTTTGCAGTTTTGATGTTCCTAACGGCTACCATACAAACGCTGTTTTTAGCCCAATATTTCAATAGAATGTTCATTGTTGGTATGCGCATCAGAACTGCTTTGGTCTCAACCATCTACAGAAAATCTCTAAATATCTCGAATAATGCTCGAAAAGAGAGGACAGCAGGTAAATTGGCAATCAAAAGTAATAAAGCAGCTAGTCTAAGGTTGTAAACTGAACTTTTCCGCAGTTTTTTAGTTCTCGTTGGCTTTCAGTCAACTAATCAAAACTTGATCGTGCTTAAAAAAATAACTCCTTCGACTACATAAATGTTTCTCTCCATTCCTAGGTGAAATAGTAAATCTCATGTCGGTCGATGCACAAAAATTCATGGATCTGACAACGTACTTAAATATGATTTGGTCAGCCCCATTGCAGATCTGTTTATCCATGTACTTTTTGTGGCAAGAACTCGGTCCGTCCGTTTTAGCCGGTTTGGCGGTGATGATCATTTTGATCCCGATCAATGGGTTCATCGCCGACAAATCAAAGAATTTGCAAATTAAACAGATGAAGAACAAAGACGAGAGGGTGAAGTTGATGAACGAAGTGTTGAGCGGAATGAAGGTGCTCAAGTTGTATGCTTGGGAGCCAAGTTTTGAGGCCCACGTGTTGAAAATCCGAGACAAGGAAGTGAAGGTGTTGAAGGAGGCGGCCTATTTGAATGCGGGAACTTCGTTTATTTGGTCATGTGCTCCATTTTTGGTAAGTTTTGATTCTTCACTTGCTTTTAATTTTTGAAAAATGTTGTTTTTAATGAAGAGCTGTTCATACTCACAGAACGATAAATATTTAATGGGAGGTCATGTGAAAGTTTCGTCCCTTATAATTTATTGTCAATGAAATCAATATCCGCGATGGCATCACATTGTGCAATTTGCCCTACTAAATTGAATTGAACAAATATGTACCGCTTTCTATACGGACATGGAAATCCAACTGATAACACTGATAAGAAAATCTGATTATTTAAAACTTACCAACTTATGTATTTTTATAAATGAAAGTTGTTTACATTAGGTTGTTTTGGCCACCTTTGTCTCCTTCGTATTTAGCGACCAGAAGAACATCCTCACTCCAGTAATAACGTTTAAGGCTTTAAGTCTTTTCAGCCTTATGAGTATGCCGATGGGACTTCTGCCAGTCCTGCTCGTTTTCACTGTGGAGGTAAACCGGTCATCAAATTGATTTAACCAATCACGTTTCCTTTTCATTTTCAATTTTCGGTGATTGGACCTGGTATTCATGTAACTGGTCAAAGGTATCATCAATGATGCACCTGGTTAAAAGTTGGTTTTTAAAGCTTTTCTTTTAGCTTTGTTTAGTTGAAGATATTATTATGCTTGGTCTGAGGTGGTCTTGTATAGAAAATTGGTGTAGCTTCTCCTATAAATTAACGAGTTGGTAAACTGTTCTTATGGTTTAACGGATGATTATTTGTTGCATCTTAACGCGGCAATATTAAGCTGAAATTAAGTAATTATCGCAAAGACGCTGCTGCGTTAAGACGACACTAAAGACGTTCCTTTCTGAGAAGAAGCGCCAGTTAAACCCGGGAGAAGTTACATCAATTTTCTATACAAGAGCACAACAGACCGACCTCCAATATCTTCCACTCTCCAAAGTTCCTCAACATTTCCCCAAAGATTACCATTATATTTCAGTTTTGTTAACGAGAGTATATAACACGAAAGTCATGGTTTATTTTCTCTTTTATTGACCCAGTGGACATTAGTGAGTCACCAAAAGTTTCTTTGATTATCGTAAATACAGCAAAAGGCTTTTGACCGTACATATTTATTTCCTTGCAGACTTGTTACATATTTTACATGATATATATTTATAACTGTTTATTATAAGAATCTCTAAAAGGGATCAGCAAATTTAGTTTTCATCTTTCTATTGCATGTCCTAGGTGTCACTGGTCACTTTCGCTACTTATGTATTAGTGGATGAAAGAAATATACTTGATGCGAACAAAGCATACGTTTCTATTTCGCTTTTCAATATTTTAAGGTTCCCCCTCAGTATGTTGCCTATGATGATTTCCAACATGGTTCAAGTAAGCACCTTTAATCTAATCATTGCAGAAAGCAGCTCATTTTTAATTGTATATACTTTCCTGACTGTGTTTCAATTCCAAATCAAAATTAATTCCTGGGTTGCAGTCATTGATAATTAACGACAATAAATGACTGAATCTCATTTTTAATATCTAATCAATTCCAAGAGTTCAAGTGTCGCAGAAAATGGGTTGTTTTCTTACATAACTTTTTCATTACGGTAGTTTCAGTTGTGCATTGTAATTTAGCTATTCAGTAGACTAAAAAAGTTAATCTAATAATGGCTTATGGCTGATGATAACTGCATAGTTAGCTCATTTTAAATTCACATGAAAATTCATGCATATTGATCTTTTAATGCTTATACTTTTTATATTTTACTTTTAATATTGATATTGTCGAGGTGATAAATATGAGGGCAACTAAATGAAACTTCTTTTAAAAGTTGCAACTTATTTTTCACCCAGTTGAATGATTGTTTAAAGGGTTTTCATGCTATTTTAGACATACGTCTCAGTAAAGAGAATAAACACGTTTATGAATGCTGAGGAGTTGGACCCTAATAATGTTAGTCATGATGAAACAGAAGGTAATAACTGCATTTTCTTTGAGAGAATGAATTAAGTGTTCTGCATAAGAGATTTACAACAATTGGATTGGTTTCAGCTGATCCTCTTGTGATTGAAAATGGGTCTTTCTCCTGGGGCGAAGACTCTATTTTAAAGGGCATAAATATAAGAATTCCTCATAAGACTTTGACTGCAATTGTCGGCAGTGTAGGGGCTGGAAAAAGTAGCTTAATATCCGCCTTTCTTGGGGAAATGGACAAAGTGTCCGGAAGAGTGAGTAATCCTGAGTCTTTTGCACTTCGTCCACCCAATTCAAAACGGAAATAAATGAAAATAACTAGATATACCCATATTCTAGGTAAATACCTATGGAACTGTCGCATACGTTTCGCAACAAGCCTGGATTCAAAACGCCACTTTAAAAGATAACATCCTATTCGGAAAATCATACGACAAGGATTTATATGATAAAGTGATTGAGGGTTGTGCTTTAAAGCCCGACTTTGATATGCTTCCTGGTGGAGATCAAACGGAAATTGGAGAAAAAGGCAATTTCCTTCTTTAGAGTTCCATTAGCCCTGATAACACTCTTGCACTTGTAGGCATAAACTTATCTGGAGGTCAGAAACAACGAGTGAGCTTAGCTAGAGCGGTTTATGCCGACGCGGAAATCTACTACTTAGACGATCCACTTAGCGCTGTGGATTCTCATGTAGGCAAACACATTTTCGATCAAGTTTTAGGACCCACAGGTGAACGATTTTGGCTTGTAATTAATGGTTTAGTTAACCGCCTTGATTGCAGGGCTATTGAAAAACAAAACTAGAGTTTTAGTTACTCATGGGATCATTTATTTGCCCCAAACCGACAAAATATTCGTTGTAACACAAGGGGAAATATCGGAAAGTGGTAGTTATCAGGAATTGTTAGCTAAAAAGGGAGCTTTTGCTGAATTCCTTCTGCAACATATTCAGGAACATGATGAAGATGCTGAAGGTGCGTTCTGTTTTATACTTATACACACATTTCAAGTGCAACTTTATAAATGTCCGTTCTTTTGTCTCTTTTATAGCTCGTCGTCTTTATAGAAAGTATTCTGACACAGTTGGTATGTAGTCGATGAGCACTGAGAATAAGCATTTTAAAATTTGAATGTTGATAGTTTTTTGTACCTTTTAAGAGCCTATTGAGTTTTAACAACCAGGTTCAAATTGAGATTTATATTCCGCACTTCTTTCCTCATTTTTGGAACTGGAATCTCAATATGAAAGCTGTAATGTTTAGAGTAGTGTGGCTAATATTTGAACAGCATCGTACGAACATGCTAATACGATTTAAGGTTTATTACCTGTATAAGCAACGCTTTTTAGACTAGTTTTTTTCTTTGAAAATCGTTATTGGTTAGGTGAATATTTAGTGTTGGAGGCCAGTTTTCCATTGCGCCAATCAATTAGTAAATCTTTTATATTTTTTAGAATTGGACGAAATTAAAAAGCAAATCGCTCAACAAGTGAGCGATGATCTTTCTAAGCAATTGGTGCGAAAACGGTCTAAAATATCAGAGTCCAAGTCTGATTCTGGATCTAATCCAGCCCTAAATGGGTCTTTGCAAAGACAGAAATCTCAAGATAGCAATAAGGCCAAGATGAAAGGTACGAGTACTTAATAGTAAAAGCGTTAAGGGTCGTTAAGGGTGATGTTCATGTTATTTAAACTCGTTTCAGAATCTGAGGGAGTAAATGGGCCTGTTCAAGGCGAAAAGCTAATTGAAGTCGAAAAATCTGAAACGGGAAGCGTAAGCTGGCAAGTTTATAAACATTACATAATGTCTATAGGAGTTGTGATCGTTATTATTACCGTGTTTCTTAACATGCTTTTCCAAGGGTTCAGTATTGGATCAAACGTTTGGTTAGGTAAGTAGTTATAAACGTGATTAAGGTAAACTTAGTTTACATTTGTTTCAAAGAGTTTTATTAATGTTTGATTTGCCCTCAGTTGCTTTTAAAACATTCACTTTCAAACGGTAACTTTTTTTGTTCCAAGGAATTTGGGCTGATGATACAAAAATGGTCGATAGCAATGGAACGGTTGATACCGCAAGACGAGATTTATATTTGGGTGTATATGGAGCTTTAGGAGTCGGGCAATGTAAGTCGCAATTTACTGTTTATTTGATTGTTTGGCTGGAAAACGATATGATTCCGGTTTTAGCAGGAATGCCGTAAACTTGAATGATTTTACCCATTGGTTTAGAGCACAGGGTGTCTTCAAATGTTTGCATTGCATGATTTGTGTTGGACCAAATCTTATGGTTTATATTTATTAGTTTGAATACAACAACATTTTTGTTTTTTTATTCATACTTTTGTAGTTAACATACGCAACTTACAATAATTCGATTCGAAAGATAAAAATGCAGATCCGATTATCATTTCTCATAATACTTTTTTTAATCTTAAAATTCGTCGCGGCTTGAATCAATGGCTTTGTAATATTGTAATCAACTAAGGCCATAGTGTATCTGCAAACATTTTTAATTTTCTGTCTCCTTTTGCACGATTATTTAAAAAATCTCTTGCTCCATTACATCGATTCAGTTTGCTACACTTTTTCTATCTAAATTGTCGATTACTTCACTTTATTAACTCATTTAATTAGTTTCACTTTTTTGCGTCTACTTAACAATTTAGCACACACTGAACTAATCAACACATCGCATGGTAGTGGACTTGAGCATGTGCCTTTTAATTTGGGAAGCGGGAAATTAATTCATCGCCATTTTACCATCATTTCTGCATGTTTGGCTGTGGTATTTTGTTATCAACTTGGGCTTTCACGCAGCGGAATTTAGAAGGCATGATTGATGTGGGCTTTTAACTGGAAAATTTAAACTGGCTTTTGTTTAGAATTATCACCAAATTAAAGAAAAATAAAGCCAAGACTGAATGTTGCCTAATTTGGGCTGATTGTTTCATTCTGTATTGTTTTTACATGGATTTTGATAAAACTATCAAAAAGAAAGCCCGTAATCATTTTTAATGATAGTTATTTGTGTTGGAGTTATCTATATAAGAACGCAGGCTTTTGAGTGTATGTTGCGGCGGTCAAACCCGCTCCATGTGATTAAACTAGAGTGCCTCCTTTCAGTTATCGTGATGTTCTTCGCAACTCTGGTATTATACATAGGAACTTTAAATGCCGCCAAGAAGCTGCATGTACTCTTACTTTCTAACATAATACGGGCTCCTTGTTCCATTTTCTTTGATGTTACGCCGGTTGGACGAATTCTGAATCGATTCTCCAAGGACGTGGACACTTTGGACACCGTTCTACCTCTGACCCTACGAGCATGGATCACTTGCTTATTCTCGGTTAGTGCCAAAAACTAACTGTTATTTTACTTTATCATGGTATTATTGGCCACAAAAAGAAGAGAATTGTAGCAAACAAACATTGAATATTATAAGGCAGTTGTATTTTTATTTTGTTGTGTGACTGTTGTACATTCGTTGTGTGCATTAACATCCAGTTTCCATTAGGAGCTAAAAGAAGTGGATAATTACTTGGGGTTTCATGATCATTTTGAATGAAGCATGAGTAGCGAGTAGATTTTCATTTGTATTTAGGTACCTGATGGCGATAGAGTAGGATTGGAAGCTTTAATATTAGCACAGTTCTGGAAAGTTTTTCATATTAGCTCTATCACACATAAATCATAACAACTAGCGTAATAACTTGAGTAACAAATTTAGAAATGGAAATACTGAATCGCCATTCTAAAAGGTTTTAAACTGATATTTTGACTAAGTAAGAGCTGATTCCGCTTAGTCGCATTGGATTGCGCTATTATTCTGGTTGTTGCATTCATGTTTCTATACGTCCATGATCCACATTGCCATATTCCAAATTGTACTTTTTTAGCCAACTTGCTTGAATATTGGGCTTTTTGGGATGTTGGAAACTAACTCAATTTGCTTCAACTAGCACAGTTATACTAATCTAATATTTATAGCGATATCAGTTTGTTCTTCGGAGGTGATTTTAACAATAGCGTGTTTAAATGCTGCCATTGCAATTCACAGAGGTCTGCTCTACAGCGTGCTTCGACAGCCCTTGTATTTTTTCGAAATTCGACCACTGGGCAGAATTGTAAGTCGATTTTCCAAGGATATAACTGATATCGATGTCGAATTGCCATATAATTGTTACGAAGGCATCGAGAGTGGGTTAATTGTAAGTTTTAGTCTACTAAACCTAGCTGTGTTGCATGAAAGATCATGATACGTTCTTAGGAAATTAGACATTGTTCATTGTTGGATTGACCAAGCATTTCATAAATTTTGCTGGAATGGTTCGGAAAAGCTTCTCCATCTTCTAGTAACAACTCACACCCTTACACACTTACAATATCGAGCTAAAAACTACATAGTTTCTTGTTATATATATTGTCGAGCAACTTTAATTTTTATCCTGTTCTACATTTTGTTTTTTAATTTCAGCTGTTTTCTCAGTTTTCCTGCAGTTAATTCCCGAATTGGGCTGTGTTACAGCCGCAGCTATTTTGCATAAACATTTGTTAAATAACGTTTTGCGTTTACCGATCATGTTTTTCGATACCACACCCACCGGACGAATATTATCTAGGTTTTCCAAAGACGTAGAAGTTGTTGACGATACTCTACCTTGGTATATTAACGATGGCATGTATTGTATTTTCGAGGTATCATTTAGATTTTTATTTCATTTTTAGAATTAGTAGCATGGAACTTTGCTTGCAAGATATTGACTACATTTTAATATCGCAATACAAACAAGTGCAGTAGGTAGTGTTAGAGTGTAGGTTTTAGTGTTTATATTCGGGAGATAATTTGACAACAGCAACAGCAATTTTTTCGAGATAACATTGATTTAATGCAACTCAATGGCGTGTTTGTATAGATCCGCTGCAAAAGTTCGTTTTTTGGGATCTTTGTTCTTCCAATCATGCTTAATTCACTTAACTCGATAATTTTCTTATATTATCGCCTACAATTAGCGTAGTTACTAATTAGGTTGTTAATACTCCGTTTATTTAGTTATTTCATCCAATCTAGTTCTCACATATAAATAGAACTGCCTTATACTATGCATTGCGTAAAACACACATCATTTCAGCTATTCATATTTTTGCGTTTTTAGGTTCTTGGTACCTTGGCGGTTACCAGTTACACAACTCCACCTTTTACGATAATTATCGCTCCTATTGGAATTTTATACTATTTCATACAAAGATTCTATGTGGCCACTTCCCGACAATTGAAACGTCTTGAATCCGTATCAAGATCGCCGATTTACTCACATTTTGGTGAAACTGTTAGCGGAGTTCAAGCGATCAGAGCGTATGGACAGCAAGCAAGATTTACCAAAGAATCAGAGTACAAAGTGGACCAAAACCAGCTTTGCTACTATCCTAGCATAATTTCGAACCGCTGGTTAGCTGTTCGATTGGAAATGATCGGTAATTTGATCATACTGTTTGCGGCGCTTTTTGCTGTTTTGGCTAAGAATCAAATGCCTGGTTTGGTTGGATTGTCCATTACATACTGCTTGCAGGTAGGTCGGTGCTGGTTTCAAGAGAAATTGAACTCGCAAGATTTTTCGGTTGTAGATTACGCAAACACTCAACTGGCTCGTACGAATGACTTCGGATGTTGAAACAAACATCGTGGCCGTTGAACGCATTAAAGAGTACGCGGAAGTTCCCCAGGAAGCGCCTTGGAAACTTTCCCATGAGATCATGCCGTCTTCTTGGCCGGAAACGGGCAAGTTTTCGCTTTAAAAAAATTTGCCAGTTCTAAACGTTGCTGTTGTTTCAGGCGCGGTTACATTCAAAGACTATTCCGTCAGATATCGTCCTGGTTTGGACTTAGTCTTGCATGGCGTCAATTTTACAGTCAACGGCAGCGAAAAAGTGGGCATAGTCGGCCGAACGGGAGCGGGAAAATCCAGTCTAACCCTCTCACTGTTCAGGTAGTCTTGTTTGCAACTGCTCATATGTATAATTCTCCCGTGGCCTGTTTTTTGCAGAATAATTGAGGCTGCTGAGGGCCAAATAATCATCGACGGTGTAAATGTGGCTTTGTTAGGTTTGCACACTTTAAGATCTCGCTTGACTATTATTCCTCAAGATGCTGTGCTCTTCTCTGGATCACTCCGAATGAATTTGGATCCGTTCGATAAGCACAGTGACGACGAAGTATGGAAGTCTTTGGAATTGGCTCATTTGAAGACGTTTGTTCAAGGTAAGTTTACTTTTGGATATTGAAATTTTTGTTTCAGTCTTTGGGCAAACACTCGTTTTAAATGTGTAAACTTTTTGTTTTTACTGCGATGTGGATTTAGAAAATGTGAAACTGTTGATAAACCAGTTCTTTTATTAATTGCGACAATTGGATTTTTCAATCAATGTAAATTCAAAGTTTTTTTCGCCTTCCGCGCTAAACTGAAGTTATAGAATCCCATTGTTCCATTAGGCCTATCATCTGGTCTGAACCATGAAATCTCGGAAGGTGGAGACAACCTTTCAGTTGGTCAACGCCAGTTGGTTTGTCTGGCCCGAGCGCTGCTTCGTAAAACCAAAGTTTTAATCTTGGATGAAGCGACTGCCGCTGTTGATTTGGAAACTGATGACCTGATCCAGAGAACCATTCGAACGGAGTTCAAAGATTGCACAGTGCTGACTATTGCGCACAGATTGAACACAATCATGGATTCAGACAGGGTTATCGTTCTGGATAAAGGAAAGGTGGTCGAGTTTGATTCGCCAGCCAATTTACTCAAACGACCTGAGAGTATTTTTTACGGAATGTGCAAGGATGCAGGTCTGGCTTAAGGAGCAGCATTAGTACAAATTCAGTTCATGTCATTTTATTTGCTTAATGCAAAAAGTGCTTCAGTTTTTTTATCGGTTTTACTTAAGGTACGATACTTACAACGCTCTTTATTGGAGGGAAGTCAGTGCTTTTTTCTTAACTGCGAATTACTTTGGAACATTTATTTTAATTGTAATTGAGATTGGCTAAAAAATGACTACTTATTGTTTCTAAACTTATCTTCTAACGGCTGTGTGATCAAACGTTTTTGCTTAATTAATCATTTTCATGTAGTATCACATGAAACATTTCATCGTGTTCAATCTTCAAAAGTTTACTTAAAAAGTCTAGGTGATGTTTTAGTTTAAAGCTCTTTGTATGGGTGGGGTTTAAATACTCTGATGAAGCTCTATTCTTGCCTTATCCTATCTTGTGATGTTGACAGAAATAAATTATCTCTAACTTACTATTAACTTTTTTAGATATATGTATTTAAGGGCGTTTAAACAGTTTTCTTCGTTCTTTACGCTTTTCAATAATGATACTATAGTAAATAATCAAATCAACACCAAAAGACGATTTATATGCATTAAAAAGTGTCAATTTTTTTATACTTTCTACACATTTTTAAATTTCTTTTGGGCATTTTAGAACAATGAACGATTCATTAATGAACTATTAGTGTTTTTTAAATGTGGTTTTTGTTAGTTTTTCACCCCTTTCAATGTTTTTTTTTGCATTATATGTACACGATTGTAGATATTGTTCGTTAGGCGCCTCGATAAAATTAAGGTCGCATTAGTTTTCAAAATAGAGATTATTATTTGTTTACATTTTACATTGCAAACTTTATCAATGTCTATGTATTTTTTTTATTAAACACTTTTATGACATTTTTTATTTCAATATACATCGTAGTTTGAAATAGATATTCCAGAAAACACTATTTCCCATTGATGGATCCCATTTTTTCCTTCCTGTTTAAATTTATGCTGAATTTTGCATTGTGTCTGGTGGCATTTGACCAGATTAGGCTAAATTGTTGCGGCAAAGTTAAAATATCCTGCATTCAAGTTTCTGTTCTCGAGTTCAAAGGTCAGTCAGCGAATGTTACATGCTCGTAGCTGGACCATCTGTCGACTGTTTTTGCCTTCGCGCTTAGTAGGAAGCCGGAAAAGTTTCCGACTTGTGATTTATTTCACTTCCTTTTGAAACTTTGCGTATCTTGGGGGACTTTTTTAGTCACTGATTGATAGTTTTTTTTATTAATTTAGCTGGTGTTGGAAAAGTCTGTAGCTGCTATTAATATATTGAGCCTATTTGAGCTGTTTTTTTTAAGTTGGTTCTTAAATACATATTTTGTTTCCTTCATCTGCATTTTGAAAGTTTTGTTGTTTTCAAAAAGGCTGCACTTTATTATGGGGTTCACACTTTTCAGTTCCCAATAAGTACGTAACCAGTCATCTGAATAAGTAGAATGGTTTAAATTCAGCACTATTACAACATTTTCAGGAAAAATCCAATAAAACTCCAAATAAAACACTTTTCTCGTGAATAATGCATCTTTTTCTCTATATTTTACATAAGATTTGAGAATTTACAACCACTTTAGCGGTATCGTGCTGTAGCAATAAGGCAAGTTCGCGAATAAATTCAGGTCGACCGATAACATATTGCTCTTCTATCTTCTAGCTTAAAATACGGTTTACTTGAAATTTAAGTTTATAAGTCACGACCGACAAAACTCCCGAAGGCTAAAAGTTCTAGTGAAAAACTCGACAGTGCATGTCCGCCAGTTTTTTCTGCTTTTAACGTTAACTGTTTGCAAAATTTAAAATTCCGGTTTATGTACCTACGAGCATAATTATTACGTTGCATGTTTGTACGGGAAGCTCGCTTCCAATACCTAAGAAACCGTTTAGCAGCCTAAGAATTCGTGGATCTTACCGATAGCCCATTTTCAATTAAATTTTAAGAACAGTTTTGTATGTCTTCACTTTTGATGTCTGCAGTGTTGTTTGGATCGATTGCATTTTATATGTATTTGCGTGGTTTGCGATTACAACAATACAAAGTTCACTATTTCAGCCCGTTAATATTAAATCATTGAGTAACATTACTATGTGTTGATCTGTTGGTAAGTCTTAATTATAATTAATAATTAGTGCACATTATAAGATAATTTAAAGATTCGCTTTCGTCGTGTTTTGAGAAGGTTTTTCAGTTTTGCATCAGTGCATGATATTTAGGTAAGACTGCAAGAGTTTTCGCATATTTTAAAGTGAACTGTTTACTTCGAAAGTATCTACAAGTATGAAAAGCATTTGCGTAATTCTCCTTTACTTGTCTACTATTCATAGCTGCTGTAAGCAAACCACTTGTTTTCGTATTCAATTTGTGAACAGTGAAATTCATTCGCGTATAATTTGCTTTTAGCAATTACAAGAGCATGATAGGATTATCCATCCCAGAAAACTGGCTTGACTGATTGGCACTTACGAGGTTCAACAGTGTCGCGAAATTAATATCATCTGAAGTGTAGCTTTAAGGCAGTCGAGGAGAGTACGTGTTTTACACTAAAGAAACTACCCAAAAGGAGTCGAGTTTTCGCATGACACTGATGTATTTAGAGCACACGTGCGAGGAATCTTATGCAGTTTCATGCGAACTGTGAAAAATTGCTGGAGACTTCATGCAACTAATTTTCCTTTTGTGAATCGTTACGAAGAAAGAAACTGCCAAATTGCCGTTTTAAATTTGCATTGAGAGTTGCTTTGTTTTCACTGTATTTAAAATTGTTCCTCGTGTTTATAACATTAGCAGCATGAAACACCCGAAGCTATAGAATTTTACACAGATCGATGTGAAAAGACGCATTTAGTCAGAGAAATCAATTTTTGAATAATTGATCAGCTAACATTACTGAATAAATCAAAGTCAATAACGTTAGTATCAAAATGCTGTTTTATGCTATTGACTTGTGATTGATTGAACTAAGTGAGAATAATTTTTTTAATAAAAAGTTTCAGTTGTGAAAATGCTCTATTTAACTATTTTTACGCAGTCTATTTCATTACACGCTCTTATTAATTAAATTCATCACTTAAATTTTCAATTTTTTTAGTTTGTTATAGTATTTGGCCAAAAGAGGAACGGGCTGAATTGTTAAATAAAATTGCTTAAAAATTGATCAAAAGATGCAAAAAGCTGTTTTATCAAAATATACTTATTACATTTTATGGAGGCTGCCAGACTCTATTTTTTAATATAACGAATGCCCGAATAAGTGAACTACAAGAGTTGAAAGTCTCCGGATTTCTACCATTAGTTGGAACTTTTATGTGGTACTTATTCTCCAAAATAAATCCAAATTTGCTGTTGGTCAATAAGCTTAACATATAAAAAATAATCGTCGAACTTTAGAATATTGATTGCGACCCAAATAACGACTCTATACCGAAAATAAACAATTTACCATAATATGAGTCTTGATCTTTACCGTAATATGATTATCGTGAATTTTCATCAATTATTTCATTGAACATTTTGTATGTCAAGTCCAATATAAAATTATCGAGCATTTGCTTTGCTTGGTTGCTTTAAATTCCGTGAGTTGATTCGATCGATTTTTTTTGCAAATATTTGGTCCTGGCTGCGGCGCAAAACAATATAAAACAATTAACTTGAAATTAACGTTCATTTTAACTTACGTTCATTTACAAACTTCCTCATTTTGGCTAAGATTCACGTCGAAGTTTCGGGCGTTGAGATTCAGAGAACTTGTCGATTTTGAACACAAACGACGTTGTTTTTTTAATTAATTTTTATAGGATTTTCAATGCAAATTCCCATTTGTGTGTGTCTTATTTTCCATAAGTAAACTTATGGCTAATGTAGTTTTTTAAACATGCGCTAGTCCCATTGAAACAACTTTCTCCAGAAGATTCGTATACTTAAACCCTGCCTTGTGATAAGTTGCAGATTACAATCTTGCGTTCACACTGTCTAAAGCTTCCATTGTTTGAAAAAGTTAACGCAAATCCCATTGACTTGGGCATGAATAATGAACAGGTTTTATGAATGATGGCTCACACGTTTTCAATTTCACCACCAATAAGCCAAGGAAATGAGAAATTTAAGATCAGAAATCTGTCTTCACTAATATTAGATGGGATTTATGAAGACTGGTAATATTTCATAGGAGAGGTGGCTCTTAAATTACTTAGATCTTCATTTTATACAAACAAATTGCTGTGCCATATCAAAGTTGGTAACGCTTTGTTTGCGGTGTGTCTACAACTACGTGACTTGTTTTAAATCAGCTACATAACAAGATTTAGTTCCAGGATGACGTTTTAATCTACTCGTCGTAATTTTGCGTTAGCACGTTGCGACCGGGCACGATGGAAAACAATTCTGTTTAGTAATCACATAAAAAAATCTGCTATTGAATAAACTTTTAAGTGAATAAATTAGGTATTTGATTCAATAATAGCTTTAATAAACCAGCCAGAGCCCAGAATGCTTAGAGCAAGTTTTAAAGTCCTTCTGGAGTTTCCAGCAGCTATTTTTATGTCAACATCATGGCAAGTCTAATGAAACCTAGAATGTTCCACTTTAAAACTCCACGGTCAAGGAGCAACTCAACCTTGCAGGCACGGATAAGTTGCAACTTTAGGTCGGGACAAGAATACAAAGTGCTAAGTAATTCGATATTGTTAGAGTTAAAAAATCATTGAAGATAATTATTTGTGATTTTTTCAGTCCTTGACAAATTAGGTTCTTCACAAATTAAGCTTTCATCGATTTTTTGAACTTAAACTACTGAAACGCTCATGATTTTGTGTGTATGAATTATTAATAGAAAGATGATTTCGGGTTTAATCAAGCGCATTTACGGATCATCAGTTTCCAGTCTGTTTTCCTCCTTCCTACATCAGAAACTTCCAATTTGGACTTTGATAGTTTTAATGGCCCTATGTAACAGTAAATAAAGTTTTAAAAAATTAATAGGTTAAAACATTGAGATTTATTTAATTAAAATATTATTCATAGCCAAAGAAGCATTTAATTCTTTTCTATTAAAATTTTAACGATTAGCATTAGCAATTTATCTGTTATACACACAGTCCAGTTCAATCGCTTTTCAAGCGAGATCAAGATATTATTGTATATAGCAAGCTAGTATTGAAGATAAAACTTGGCGAAAATAGTTTTTGTGATATCTTGTAGAGTGAAGGATCAACTTTGTCCAATTCTGAATGACAAAAGAAAATTTGATGTTAGTGTATCCAAGAAGTTCACAAATTGAAAATATTAATTAGGTTGTTTCTGCGTTGTTGCTCCATTTTCTTGTCTTCGTTCGGGTTAATATGCATTTTCAGCAGGATGGAGCTTTTGCCCACCACTGCAAATGTCTTGATAGATCCACTACTAAATATACTTTTTTAGTAGCAGAGAATTGGAATGGTCAGATCACGGAGCCTCCGCGATTGCCTGACTTTAACCTACTTAATTCCTTTTTATGGCGTTATTTAAAGGTAAAGGTTTGCAAAGTAATAGAGCATTGCGCGTAGTGCAAATATAAACCAGATTGATAATAGAAAAATACTTACGGCAGCTCCAAAGTGGAAAAAAGCGCTAAAAAAGTATCGATCAGAGAGATGTTTTTTTGAGAACACTCGTTTTTTTTTTGTTTTTTGGATTGTTATTGCTGGAATAAAAAATATTTGTTTTAACTCGATCGTTTTTAGTTAATAACGCCAATAATTTTAAGTCCAGAAAAACCCGTTTTATATTTAAATATAAGTTTGAAATTGCGAAATATATTTCAATTCGCCAAAATACAATACAATTCGCCAACATTTTCGCCCTTAATTGAGAAAAGCCTACCTGTTTATACGTCGTTTAAACTATAGCGCAAAGTTGCGTATATTAATATTGAAAGTTTTGATTATGTGCTATTATCTTTAATACTTCACCGATAAATTTGAAAGTTTATCTGATGTTTCAAGAGTCTCTTAGCGTAAGTTATTCTATGGAAAATCATAAACTCCGAATAAAATCTCGAAGAGGTTGTGGAATTTTGCAGTTTAATGTGGGTATAATTTTCAAATATTTTGCCCAATCCAGTAGATAAACGGATTTACTAATTAATTTTCTTCCATGTTCCTACAAGAATTTGGTTCACTTGTCTCTAAACTCTCTCCTATCCGAACGACACAACATTTTTCGTTTAAGGGCCTTATAATAAGCTGTTAGAGCTCTCAAATTGCTATTCAGTTTTACGTTTACTGTATATGAATCTTTCGGTAATTTTATACTTCAATCTTGCAATTTTCTGGATAATGTGCACCAACGATCATTGAGCAGTGAAAGTTCAAAAGGCTAAAGTTTCTCTGGGTTTAATAAGGTCATTTTCCAGTTCGAATCTCAATCATATTTTACGATTGAAGAGTCTAACAAAAAATATTTCACGTTATGCACACATAGATTTTAAATATAATAGCTTAAATTATACATACCCTCTATTCATTTAATATTTTATGGACAATGAAAATATGCCCAGTAAAAAATTCTAAAGATGATTGACGATGTGCATATCCAGATAAATCTAAAACCAATGTTTTATCTGAACTATGAGAATGGATTTTAATTAATATTGGGATTAACTCGAATTTTATTGTCTATTATAGAACAGAACAAATCATTGGAAACCTCGCAAATCCAATAATAAAATCGGCGCTATTCAGCGATATTCCTATTAGAATGTAATTTGTGACATGCCTATTTACGTGCTTTAGTATTCAATGATAGCAGCCGCCAAGAGCTTCATTAGCTTCATTGGATTCAGAATCGCATATAGGCACAGGGTAATTTCCAAAATTAGGATATGAGTTGGCTTAAAGTGGCTGACTGCATAGGAAATTATTCGCGTAGCAAATCGATATTAGATTTTAGTTGCACTTAATTAAATGCTATGGTTTCAGATTGGTATTTGAATCACCGTTAATAATTCCGCTCTAAATTGAACCAAATTTACTGTTGAATCGTAATTTGGTATTTTATTTAAATGACTTTGTGGTTGTTAGCAGTAAACAATTGATTTACGTTGAACGCTTGAATACTAACAACTTA